CGTAATAATTAGCCGAGTGTTCAATACACAAAGTGCGGCAATTGGCAAAACGTTAAATGTGGCAAGCGTTAAGTAGTCCATCAGCTGATAGTATGCCTGAACAAGCAAATGGATCAAAATTTACCACTCATCATACAACCTTTTTTACTCGCCCGCTGCTCGTAAAATTATCCAAAAATCAAATTTTCAAATGATAATAAACTGATAAAATCTATACCGAGATCAACATATCATGACTTATTGCTTTTTGTTAAAATTTCGTAAAAAGCCAACTGCGTCACTATGATGCAATACTTCTGGCCCCCTACTTAATCATTGGACGCCCTAATCCCTTCTAGAGTGACGCAAGCCCTTTGATTTATGGCGATCTAAGTATAAAAGCACTCCTTCCCGCCTCAAGGATCGAGTGTTGTGTTTTTTTACTTCGCCCTCCCGAAGAGTTCGACCACTCTGTTCTGGAGAGCTTCGCTATATCCTTTTCTTTTTAGTTTGATTTTTTTGTAAGATTAAGAGCCTGCTGTGTAATATACGCGTAAGGACACATGCTATTCTAAGCATCAACTTTTAAGATTGCGGCAAATATTATTAGTAAAAAAAAAAGCATATGATGCTTGAGGTTAAGCAAACCTGTAAACTCGCATTATCACTGATAGCAATAACATAGAAATGCTGGCGAAGATGATAATCCCAGCAAGGCCTAATCCTGTAGCATATTGGCCACTGTAACGAGCATAGCAGCGATATGACCAGACAGAAAACCACGGCTGTTCGACTTGCCCGACTTGAGCATAAATCATGGGCCCTTAATGGATGACAGACCCAGATATACCGTTCCACATTGAATGTCACCACTAATCTGGAAAATATGGCCGTGGGGCATGAACTGAAGGATCTGCAGTACTGATAGTATTCATTTGTTAATGCAACCTATGTTACATGACTCTGATACCGATGTGCACAGAGATGCCGGGAAATGACTTTTTTCAGCTTAAAATAATTCTCCCTGCCAAAACTTTCGCGGGGTCGTACTTGGCACCCGGGGTTACATGAAGGCTGAATTTAAGTTTGCCGGGTCGCACCTAGGCGAGGAATATTCTGCTAAACTTTTAGCTTTCTAGCTTCTCTGGTTCCCGAATTAAAACATCCGGATCAAACACACACAAGCACATACACAGAGTCTCGACAGCATGCTTTATTCGCAACCGTTGCAGCACAAGACGCAAAATGTGGAACTTGATTCAAACTATACAGATATGCTAGCAGTGTCTGGACTTGAAGTTACAATTTGCATATGCTTGCTACAATTTTTCTTATATATTTACCATGAGCAACCTTCCAAT